TGTTGCCGTTTACGTTTGCCTGCCTAATATAATGTTTGCTTGGTGGAGACTTGAAGGTCACCTGTCTCCTGACAACACATGCAACTCATTCTGTTTGCAGGGAAACATACATCCTCGTGAGAGTGTCCCTTCAAACGTACAGACCACGGGATATATCATCACCACTTGTTGAGAGAGAGAGAGAGAGAGAGAGAGAGAGAGAGAGAGAGAGAGAGAGAGAGAGAGAGAGAGATGGGGGGCAGCGTGTTGATGAGATGCGGCGGGAATACTCGTGATGTTGCTGGGGCGGTTGATGATGTTTCCGCAAGCTCCGGTGACTTGCATCTGGTATCGAGGGAAGAGCTGAATGGGGAATCAGAGGATCTTTCTGGTGCAGATACTAGTGCTCGTGTCAGTGGTCTTGAAGGCTCTATGGATAGTAGCAGGGCCAGTTCTAGCGGAGATGCTGGGGATGCCCATCATGCGAACAGGGCCAATGAGTCCTCAGGCTGTTGTTCGGTCCTTAGAGGCGAGGACTCTGAGGATCTCAAGCAGGGCATCTGTGGTGTTGAGGATGCGTGTGTCAATGCTGGTCCCGATTGGTCGGATATGGTGGACGAGGTGCTTGCGCTCATCTTCAGCTTCCTTACAGTTAGAGAGCGATTCCGTGCGGGTACGGTGTGCAAGAGATGGTGTAGGGCTTCACACAACCCTGCGTGCTGGACAAAGGTGCGGATGGCGACGCACAGTGAGAAGTGCATCAGGGACGTCTTGTTGCGGAGCAGAGGTCAACTGGTCGATCTCAGCCTCGATTTCACCAAGCATTCCATGCTGCGGATGATCGGATATTCTTGCCCCCTTCTCCAGCGAGTCGACTTTTGTTTTCTCGGATTCGGCGAAGATTGGCTTCCCTCCGTCGAGGCTTTTGTTCATGGATGTCCTCAAGTTCACTCTTTGAAGCTTTGGCCAATTTCCCGGAGGCCCTCCAGTATCCACATGTCACTCTGCATCAGGATCTTGCTGACCGGCCTTCCACATTTGCTTTCCTTGAGTCTGCGGTCTGACGAGATCTCTGACCGTGAACTGAGCATCATTTCAGAAACTGCTCCTCAATTAGAGGCCCTGGAGTTGAGTGGCAAGAGAATAACAGATCCTAGCTTGGACCTCATTGGGCGAAAACTCGATAACTTGCGGGTGTTCGTTATTCACTGATGGCACAGCAGGGATGGAGGCTTGGAGGCTTGGGGAGCTGAGTCAGTGTTTGCTCGGAAACGACGGAAAGATATCGATGCAAAGTGACCAGGTTTGAGTGCGATCACCGTGATCTTGACGAGTCATTGATGACGATGTGAAGTACAAGAAAGAGTCTTGAATTATCTCTGTAACGGTTACAGGATCGGGCCATTCCTGTGCCACGGTGTGGTCGATGACACTGCCAATGCATGTTTCATGGATGTTTCATGGATGTTTCAATGGAACATTCCGAAAGACTTAGTAACGAGTCGTGAATTATCTCCATAACGGTTACAGAATCGGG